GCTATTAGTCTCTTCTTTTGGTCCAGCTTACTTGTCCTGTCTTATTAAGAAAATGGCAAGGTTCCAAGGTCAGTTAATGAAATGGTTCAGCTTGAACAAACAGAAATGCTTTATAAAACCCTACCAGAGGATGTTGGCATAGAGATAAAATGCCACACTTTTTGAGGCTGACCCATGTGGGTAGATTTCAGGTTTGCATCTCAAGACCTCCTGAATATGCCAGACATGTGCTTGCCCTTGAACTGGGGCTGACTGATACTAGGTTGGATTGTGGACGCTGTGGGGGTACCTTGTTGGGGAAACCATATTGCAGATACCATCTCTCTCATTTGGGAAGAAATAAATGAATACACTTTATACATACACACAAAGAAACCATCACAGAGACCTCAGATTATATAAGAAAGAAGGAATATGAAGTATTAACAGAAAACTTAAAATTTGGCTTCTATGAAAAAATAGCCTATAATTTACTTTTACAGTGGGAGTGTGCTAGTTTGGAATTTGAAACTACAAATTACCTTCTGAGGAATTCTTTTCAGGGGTGGCAAACATGTAGTCACTAGTCTAGATCTAGCCTACAAGTGTGCTTTGTATAACTATCAGTCTATCAAAGAACAGCATATGCCTCTGGCTTGAAGTTTTATTTTTTGTTCTGTCAGGCTTAGTATTCTATTACTTACTCTCTATCTTTTACACATTGTAAAAAAGTTTTTTTTTAAGAATTATTTTATTTATTGTTATTTATTCATTTATTTATTCTAATTTGACCAGAGAGCGGGGCAGAGAGAGAGAGAGCAAGAAAGCAAGCCACTAGGTCTGGGACTTGAACTGCAGTTGGCCCATATGGGAGTCCAGTGCCCTCAACCAACCCACCACCTGCTGGCCCCCTTTTACACATCTTAATACTTATCTGGCTCTCAAATAAATTTTGTGACTATATTATTACTACCATGGTAGCCATTGTCTCAGAAAAGGGAGCTATTGGGTTGTCAGAAAAGTCATGACATATTTTTTCTATTTTTCTATGCAAAAATGTCTTACAATTTTTCTGATGACCCAATGATATGGTGAGGTTTTCTTTTTTTTAATGTTTTTTTTTTCCACTTCTGTGACAATCTTAACCAATCCCCATTCTCCAGCCTTTCTTTTTTTTTTCTCCTTGTTTTGCCATAGGGCATATGCCTTCACTGGAAGTGATGAGAAAGAGAGAGAGAAGAAGAGAGAGAGAGCAAAAGAGAGAGAAATCACCCTCCTTTCCCCAAGAGAGGATGGCCAAATGGCAGTCCCTTCTCCTGTTGGGACCTTGGGCATGCATGCACA